GCATGATGTGTGTATGTGTGTGTAAAAAACGTTTTATATAATTCATTTTTAGAACTTAAATTCATGTTTTTACATTGTTTCTTTTAAACCCCGGAGGTTCTCCCGGGATACAAACTAAAAAGATTTGAAAAAAAATATGACAGTTTTGCTTGAGATATCTTTCCCTTTTAAAATTTTCGTGAAAAGTTTCTGTGACTTGTGTCCTTTATTGGTCGCATACCAGAAATTTTTTTAATTCGGTTTCCCAATTTGGAATTTTTACTAAATTATAATGAAGGGTAGAAAGTAGATAAGTATACTTTTCTCTTCTTAAAATTTTTCACTGAATTGTGTTTTTTATTTGTACAAAAAAAATTGAAAAAATCTTGGGGTGACCCCGTAATCCCGGGACTTTTAAAAGTATCGAATCCCTTTGCCCCCGGGTTAAAAATTTGAAGTCTTCTGTTTAAATTTTAAAAATAAACAATTATTTTTTTATGGGAATTTTACATTTTTTTTTCATTTTTAACATTAAAAGAAATGTTAATTTGTGTGGATTAAATTACAGTTCGTTAAAACAATTTATAATATGACATTCTTTTTAAAAAAATTTTTAATTTTTGTTTTCATTGCCGTGAACTTGGTTTTACTCTCCACCCAAGTCCCGACTGGGGGGCGAGTGGTTTGTCACGACCATTGCACAAGGGTTGCGGGTTCACCCCCCCCAATGCTGGGTTTTCAGGATGCAGAAAAACGAATGGTCCCCAAACCAGTCGTATATTATTCGGATGTATAAAAAACCCGGTCCGTTTGCTTTGATTCCCAAAAATTTTTAAAAAAAAAAATTATTAAGTTCATTTTTATCGTCAGAGCTCAGTACCTCCTTCTGGGGGGAAACGGCATCAAAATTTGCGGCAATTGGAAACGCCTATTATACGGTGCTGACAAAAGTGATACCACCCCTGGGGGAAAAAGCTAAGTCTGCAAAGGAAAAATACCAACATTTGCAATTAAAGTTTGCGGGTGGGTTTTGTCGAATTCATTTGCCCAGACTCAATGCAGACGTTACGAGAATGCTAATTGAGACGGATATGATAAGAGAAAATAATAACATTTTTAAAAATCAAACTTTTAAAAAGGATGTGATGGAAAAAAATAAAACTTAAATAAAATATTTTAATTGTTCCCAAAATAATAATTTTAACAGAAAAAAATGACAATTATCGATTCAAAAAAAAAATTTATTTAAAATATATATTTCTTTAAAATATATATATATATATAATTTGTTTAAAAAATATATTTTTAAAAGAAAAAAAAAAAATTTAATACTTTTTTTGGGAAATTTTTAGGTTTATGATTAAGATCAAAGGTAGCTTTAGGACAAATTATTATTATATAAGGGGGAGGGTGAAAAAATTATAATTGAAAATTGGGTCGCCGTATAAAGTTTAGAAGCATGAATTACTATATTAGTTCGTTCTTTTGTATATATATATATATATATATATATATATATATATATATATATATATATATATGTAAGGATAGTGAGTAGATTAAAAATTAAATTCCTATCTAGTAATTCACATTTATATTACCTCCTCACCTCTTCAAGTATAAAACTAATGACATTTATTTCTTCCGAACATATGGCCTATCAATAAGCATGTGTTGATCGTTACTCCCAATAGCCCTATATGTCAGCATTAACTTTCAAGAGCATTCATGGACGCCGCGATCGGTGTTTTAAGTGTTTAACCCACTTAAAATTATTTGATAGCGTTCTTTCTCTCTCTGCCTCTTGCGGCAGATGATGTCTAACTTTGATCAAATAAAGACCTTTTTTTAAAATTAACTCTGTTTCTGACTCTAAAATCATGTCAGAAATAAAGCCGGCAAGATTCCTGAAAACGCATTTCAGAATTTAAACTTATATGTATTCTTCAAATCATCTTAAAATTAAAACGAACGCCGACGCGCGCGACCGTAATAAATGCTACGGAGAATTTGACGGAACACTGACGGTGCTCAATATATCTTTCGTGAAGACATCAGGTTGCCGAAATTGAAAAACATGCTCGTAACCCCGGGAAGAACACCACTCTTTACCGCCGAAAAATATTTCTGCCTTTGCTGATGAGAGCCACCAGTTTGTCGCGAGTGAAAGAAACAACGTTCTAATGACGAAAAAAAAAAGAGAGAGAAAAGAAGAGAAGCGTGAATACCCTATCCCTGTGAAGACAGACATAATACCTTCCGCCAGAGAAAAAAAAATCTTCGTCGCATGAAAGTCTGCATGGTAATACTGTAAATTTTACTACTATCGATTTACAATAGTGAAGTACTAACATCGAAAGAAAAATAAATAAATAAAATGTTACTAGTGCAAATCACAACTGACAACAACATCTGGATTACCGCTCACCAAGGGTTTCTGCCGCTATGAAGTGGAGGTCAGTTAAATTATATATTTCCAATTTTATTAAAATTATTTTATTCAGTAGTAACCTTATTGCACGTAATTTAATTTTTTCATTTTGAAATTGTGTATTCTAAAATACCGGCCATATATCAGGATTCACTATTTCTCGAAATTTTCTCCTTATCTAAATTTAAAATTAATTTAATAACTTCAAGCTTATTTTTGGATATTGCACAGTGGATAAAGGAGAATACAATCATTATAATTTTGTATATGTCTTGTAGGTATTAGAGGACAAGCGATGTTTAGTTTGATATGTAAACCTCTTATTGTTTTCTTAGTAGCATTCCTGAACATCTGTGATTTGATCACGCAGATTTCTCAGAGAGATGTGTTCAAAAAGAAGTAGTGTGACACAGTTTATATTAGAGAATGTGTGTAAGAGAAAGTAAAGAATTTTGTCTATGCAATGAATACTAAGAAGGTTACGGAGAGATTCAAAATATTGTATGCGATATTGTTAAGTTACAGTGAATATTGTGGAAATTTTACATAAATACTAAAGGTGATGATAGAAGAGAGTCCACACTTCAAACTCACAATTATTTAAAAGGCTCTTTAAATCTTATAACTCTTATATTCGCATTTATTCTTATAGTTTATAACGCATATGAAATAAAATATTGTTTATTGTGTTGAATAATGCATATTTGTTGTACACCGTTTTCATATTATTAATTTCATTTTATTAGCGTCTATATTTTTTTTATCTTTTTAAAAAATGTATTTCATATATGCAAAATGTTGAGTATTACTACGATGGCTCAGAGTAAATTTATACAAAATTAGTATTTTTAATATTTGTATACCATGTATTTTATATCCTGCTATCTTATTGCTTGATATGATATTATTTTACAATATAATTTTTTTTAAACATTATCTGCTAGCTATAGTACGAATCTATTATTATGAAGGAATAGGAGGAAACGCGAGCTCTTATTCTGGATGTCAAATATAGATTTGAACAAGCTAATCTTCAGTTATATGTGCGGAAATTCATTTTTATCAATTAATATTTTTGGAAGTGTCATTACTGTGTTTGTTGTTATAGTTTCGTTTATTTTAGAGCATTTTGATTTTAGTATTCCTTTGTACTTAAATATTTCTACTGAGTGTAATATGCGTTTCCAAATGATGTTATGTATTGTTTTCTATACGTTGAAAATTGAATAAGTTTGTAAAGAGAGAAAAACGACGACCTGACTCCCTTTTAAAATGGGGGGGGGAGGGCAAATGTAAGGATAATTAAATTAGATTAAAAATTAAATTTCCTATCTAGTAATTCACTATTATATTACCTCCTCACCTCTTCAAGTATCAAACTAATAACCCATTTATTTCTTCCGAACATATGGCCTAGCCAATAAACATGCCTAATTCCAGATCGTTATATTTAATAGCCCTATATGTCAGCATTAACTTTCAAAACACTCATGGACGCCGCGATCGGTGTTTTAAGTGTTTAATCCACTTAAGATTATTCGGTGGCGTTCTTTCTCTCTCTGACCTCTTGCGGCAGATGATGTATAACTTTGATCAAATAAAGACCTTTTTTAAAATTAACTCTGTTTCTGACTCATATTATATATATATATATATATATATATATATTGTGTTACGTAGATCCGAGGGTTCAGGGATTTTATGCAAAACAATCACAAAGAAAATAAACAGTTCTTTAAGAGCGATGTGAATTTATTATTAAAAATTCAATCCTTTAAATAAAGGATTCAGCAGCAATATTCACAGAGTAAATCGCCTAAGGTCTTCAAACCTTCAACAGCAATCAAACACAATCACCAGTGTTTAAAAATACACGTAAGTAAAGATTATTCACAAGCATAGCCGAGCTAATAGCTAGTCAAAACAATCTTTAATACTCGCTGGTTTAATCGAGACTCCTAACCGTACCGGTGAGCATCTTTTTATAGGCGTGACAGAAACTTCCAGAAATATAACAGCTCGTGTCATTGAACGTGACACTAGTGGAGAGATCTACTACTTTCTAGAAGATTCCCGAGGGTTCCGATCTCGCCAACATGGTCGCCAATGACGCCAAATTGGTCACCAAAGTCGCCAACTTGGTCGCCAAAAATGATGCCTACTTGGCTCTACTGCCAAGATTTCGCCAAGTTCTCATTGGATAGCCATTATAACGTAAGGGGCGGCATTGCTTGTGAATGGTAGAATTTTAACATGAAATAAACATAACATAGAGTAATATAAATGCATTAAACACTCAAATACAAATTATTTACACTAATTACATAAAATTTGTAACAATATATATATATATATATATATATATATATATACATATATATCATGCTCAAATTTTCAATCGTTAATAAAATACATTCTATTCATCCATTCAAGTTCAAATACATTTTTTTAAACTTGTAGTGGATGGCACTGGATGTTAATACAGTTTTTTCAAATATGAATTTCTTCAATTAAATTCAAAAATGAATAAATAGTTACAAACAAAAATAATAATCCAACATCTTATATAGAAAGGAAAATCGTTCCTTGTATCCCTGTAGTGCAATGGAATGCTCGCTGGACTTCTAATCCAAAAGTCATGGGTTCAAACTCCAACTGGGATGGCCTAATGTCTGAGAATGAGGTTCCATTTTTCTATGAGGTTCTTTTTGTTAGAATAATAAAATTTAATGAATAAATAAGTATTAACAAACAAACAAACTAATCCAACAACCTATATAGAAAGAAAAATGGAAAATTAAAAGAAAAATCTTTTTTTTTTCTATTTTATCTCTTAATATTGCGATTCTGTCATATGCATAAACATATTTATATTAATTGAAATTATTTAATAAAAAGCAAAATGAAATTTATCTTTGTTAACCTAAGAAGGAATTGACTTAATTTTTTTTATTATTTGTTAAATTTGTAAATTTTTTTTATATTACTTGTTATTGATGTTTATCTATATCTTTAAAGACCTACTTTAAACAATGTGGTTTGATAAATTATTTATTTAAACTAACTAACACTAAAAAAAACCGAAGAATAAATAGAACTATTTTATTCACAAATGGTTTTTAAAAAATTTTTTTATTAAGGATCTTTTTAAATCCTGACATGTGAATAGCGAGAAATTATAAACAATATCTTAAGATTAGGAATTTCAATAAATAAACACAATGTTTCAATAAAAGTATTTTTTGTGCATCGTATTAAGTTGCATCATATAGTAAAAATAGACAAAAAAAGTTATCAACTTGTAGCATGAATTATTTCGATTCAAATGGATGTCAAACCGAAAATGTATTCTTTGTTCTAACTGTATTTATAACCATTGTTCTGGTTTCGTAACAGCATCATAAAGACATTTTAAAAAAACAAGTATATCTAACTTCAAGGCGGGTCCTATTCGCACCCTGGTACTATTCCCAAGGCAAATACTTCTTTTATTTGAGTTTAAAACCGCCTTCTATAGAGGAAACTCGATTATAAGGTATCCGACTACGTACGGAACAATGATTTTAAAAAAGATCATAAATGAATAATTGTCATGATATGTAGAGTCACTAAGATTAGAATACACGTATAAAATTGTTTTAAAAGGACATTATGACCAAAAAAAATTATTTAAATGCAATATGTTGGCAAAAAATTAACTTAGAATAACCTTTTTTCCAAATGTTCTCCTTTTGTAAAAAATGATTCTATTGTATTAATATTTTGCTTGTATATAGCTCAGACCTCTGTACTGAGGCTCAACTGTGAATTTTGAAAAATTCAAATTATTTTCAATGTACAACCATTTGAAATAATTATCGGCATATTTTCTTAAAATGTTTCCCTTCTGTTTTGGTAAAACTTGGATAAACCAACTTTCGAGTTATGCACTTCAAAAATTCTAGTCTGAGCTGAATACAGGCAAAATATTAATACAATAGAAGCATTTTTTTACAAAAGGAGAACATTTGGAAAAAAGGTTATTCTAAGTTATTTTTTTGCCAAAATATTGTATTTAAATATTTTTTTTGTCATAATGTCCTTAAAACAATTTTATACTTGTATTCTAATCTGAGTGACTCTAAATATCATAAATATTATCCATTTACTCGCTTTTGAGAAATTACGGTTCCGAACGTAGTCGGATACCTTAAGCTGATTTGAGTGATATTTAAAACCTGGCATTGTGTGTGCTAGGGTTACTCATTGTGTAATGATAAAAGTGAAGTTAGCGGATTGATTTTTTGAAACTTAGGTGTAAGAACAAAGAAGTTTTGGATTGGAATATAGCCGGCCCATTAGAGATCACACGAGTGCACCTCTATCGGATCAAATTCACAGATAAGTGTTGGTTTATTTATCTTGAGCTTATAAGATTGTGATCTAAATTGTGATCGCGTCCACTGTTTATAAGCCTTGATTAATCATAAATTTATTAATCTGAAATAAAAGGGGTTATTTTTATAACTATGTCTGCGAATTCAGTGACTCAAACTATACCCGCAACCGAAGAGTTACGACCACTTGAATGAAATATTTTTAAGATACAAAAAAAGATAAAATACAAAGATACAAAGATTTGTTGCATTTTTCAAATGCATCAAAATATTTTTCTTTTATATCTATGTATAGCTACGCCCTTCCTGTGCTTTGCAATCGTGAATTAAATATTGTTTTGAAAAAATATTTCGCTAAACCCTATTTTATTATAATGCTTATTTCTTATAAATTATTGTTGAAATTATTTTATTAAAATAAATAAAGATAGATTATGTCTCATATCTGTGAAGCTACAACTTCACTTTTAAAACTGATACCAAGCAAATAAAAGAAAACACGAGGTAGAAATTTTAAAAGGCTGGGCCACAGCGTTTCTGTGGGACGCACTCCCTAGGGGGGAATAATCCTACCAGGGGGGTGTGAATATATAGAAAAGTCTTAAGTAAAAGATATAAAAAAATTATTAATTTACTGGAAGGAATCAAAACAAAATACATCATGAGATACACATTTACAATGATGTAATATACTTATAAATGTATCAAAACTGCACAATGTATTTTATAAATAATTTAACAATACTAAATTAGGAACAGGTTTAATAATTACTAGTGGCGCCATAGGCTTTTACAAATTTATATTCAAAATTAATACTTATCTTGATAATTTCTACTATTACAATTAATGTCGCATTGTAGCTTTAACGTTATAAAGTACGTTATTATTGAATTCCGTACATTGTTATTGTATAGAGGGGGGGGGGGGCATGAAAATTGTGTGATTGAAAATTGGGTCGCAAACATTGAAAGTTAAAGAAGCACTGGACTAGGCCCTTTCAGTAAAACTGAAGCATCTGGTGATACAATTTCATGCATTCATTTTTGTTAAGTGTACGAAGACTTTTGTGGCGTAATTTTGTAGTAGTTTTTTTATTATTAATTTTTAAAAATGAAAGTTATACCATTTTTTAAAAAATTGATTATGTCATTCCATTAAGAACAAGTTGCAGATATCATGAAAAAAATTACAATTACAATATATTAATTTTTAATAGTCAAAAATATTAAATTTTATAGAAAATTGCAAGTGTGCGAACACTTTTGTTGTCCGCTGTATGTACATATCTCCATCTTTTTTGCGAGTGGCAAACGGATTTTAGCCGCTTGATCACGTTTGTTCAGAAACTTTTCCTATGAATAGACTTCAGTGTTCCCCTGTGAATGACTTAAGGTTTTTATTTCTGCGTTTTACGATTGGTTACAGTTTATAAATGTAAATTAACAAAATATAAAAAAGAAATAGAAATGTGCAATCTCTATTGGATGAAGTTAAAACTTCGGAAAAAGAAATTGATCAAGCAAGGGAAGAACCTGATTAAATAATGGATATTAATACTGTTTATTTAAAAGAAATGTCATACCTTATGAATTTAAAGAGCTGTTTTGCTAGAAATATATTATTTTTTTTTAAAAACCCTAGGATAATACCTGGGATAAATTACTTTAAAACATAAAGCGTTGTTAACGCACATTGCAGGTTGCTTCGTAAAAAAGTGGGTGCGTGTTATATGACGAATACACTGTGAAGTTAAAAAATTCAGCTTGAAAGCATAGCGGCTCGTTGTATGCCGGATTTTACAGTATACAGTCGGAACTCTAAAAAAGTCGATAAATCCTGAAAAAAAGTTCATTTTTCGGAAAACTCATTTAATAATGATTCAGTTTTCAATATACAGGATTCATATTCCAGGAAAAAATTTGCAATATTAAGAAATTCGAAAAATAGAGGTTCATTAAATGTAGGTCCAACTGTATATGCTTGCTTCAAACTACCCGTTCTTTGTAAGGGTGAATTGAGAAATGAAACTGTAGGGAGAAATTGTGGGATAAAGAAGGTTTTAATGAGTTAATTTTCAGTGAATTGCAAATTAAAAACAAAGCTCTTAACATATCTCTGCTTAACAAAAAATCATATTTGCCAAATTTTAAGTCTTCAAGTCTAATATTTGTAAAAATGAATTTTTTTTTATCAAAAATACCCAACCCCGTAACCCTTTTGAGGGTCGACGTTTGTAAACCTCATTCTTAGTTAATCTCTGCTCTGCAAAAGTAACAAATTTTCCAAATTTCAACATTGTAGATTTAGGTATTCTTTTTAAAATGAGTTTTTTTTTTAAATAAAGCGCACACGTTAAGTAATCTCGGGGTCCATTTTCGCAAATCCCCTAGCTAGTGAATCTCTGCTAGATGAAAGGAAAGTGCCTCCTCTTAATTTCGAGTCTATAGGTCTAATATATTTCAATACCGGAATATTTATATATAACGCCCCTTTAACCCCTCACCCCCTTTGTGAGTCGATTTCAGTAAAACCCTTTCTTAGCGTAACTCTATTTTATGAAAGGAGCTTGCCTTTGAGATTTCAAATCCGTACATCTAATAATTTTCGAGATTCCATGATGAGTAAATAAAGAGTTCCTTTTCTCTTTTATAAATCTTCTGTGAGTGTGTATGTGAATGAACTCCTCCTAAACGGCTGGACCGATTTTAATGACATTTTGTATGAGTTCAAGTGGATTCGAGAATGGTTTAGATTTACAATTCGGTCCAATATCCCAATTATTTATAAAGATATTAATTAAAAACCTTATAAAACGCATAATTGTTATACATCTGTGTGCTGTTTATTCTTCTAATGCGTGGCAAGAAAAAAATGAAATAAAAGGGGAGAATTTTCCGGTATTTTCGCCGTTTTTAAAATTGCAATCTAATTTTTCTATCAAAACCAGACAAAAACTAACTACAGAATCGGAAAGATTATTCATTTCACCATGATATGGCATATATCTTTTTATACATAATTCTTCTGTGAGTGTGTATGTTACTGAACTCCTCCTAAACGGCTGGATCGATTTTAATGATATTTTTTGTGTGGGTTCAAGTGGATTCGAGAATGATTTAGATTCACAATTCGGTCCGATATAGCAATTAGTTAAAAATGCGCCAAAATTATGTAAGAGCACGCGGTTGTTCACAAAAAAATCATGCGCAATATTCTTGAGACCACTATTTTGAGCGGCAAACTTCAAGGTGAAGTTGTACTTCTACCACAGATCCCAATGATTCTT